TTCCCGCCTCTTCTCTGAGGCGCGGCCGCCGCAGTCACCTGCTGGTTGCGCTGTCACGGAGAAGAAACGCTAAAAAACTGTGTCCAGTGAGGGGAAGAGACATTTCACAGAGCTGGGCCGAGAGCCTGGGCCAGTAATCATTTAATTCAGGTCCCCCGCTCCTGCTGCACGCTTCACAGCCAGAAACGCCTCAGTCTCGCACGCAGTGTGGTTGGTGCGTGCTGTGGGACATGTCCTTCTCCTCAGCTTACAGTGAAGACTGTGTTAACACAGCCATACCAAGCTTCGGGCACAGAGGGCTCTCCAGCTTCTCTGAAATTATCTAATCAGGCTTTTACGAAGCTGCCTTGTGACCCCAGGCCCAGATAACTGACATGGCCAGAGCACGCGCGACAGCTCCATGGGGAAGGCACGACTCCGTTTTCAGATAGGACGGGGCTGTTCTGTCACGTCACCTTACCAGCAACAGTTCCTCCCTCGCTGCCCTTCCTTTCCCAGGGTTTGTGCTGGTGTTAGCACAGCCCGCACGAGCTGCTGCTTCATTTGTGCTAAGCTTGGAAATGAAATCGGTGCGGCCATCTTGGTTTCCCCTCGCAGGAAACCTGTAACACAGCTACTCCTCCTCCTCCCGTTACCCGCTGCGTGCTTCCTCATCGGCTGAACCAACACGGTCCCGCACTCTGCCACGTCATCCCTACAACCTCTAGGCCACGCAGAGCAAATGGATAAATTTTAGGCCTATTTTATCACCTAAGGCACCATTCCATTCCCCAATTTAAAACTAGTCTGGTGTTCATGACATCAATTTCGCACTTGTGAAGTAGTTCACACACGTGTGTGCGTATATATGCACACACCACTACACATTATGCAGTTATTACCTATGTAATTACACAGTAGGAGGCTGGCTTTTTTTGTGTTTTACAAGGTACCAAAACTGTGAAGTCTCTGAAAAAGTTCAACAGCTGGTGAAAAGGATTCCTCAAAGGGATTTAAAAAAAATAGCAGCTGTAACACCTAAAACAGTACAGTATGAATGGGAGCGTGGAAGTACTGGTGTCTAAGACAGTCCAAAGGAGCGAAAGAAATTAATGTGCCTGTGATCATGCCAAATTTTGGAAACATACACATACCTGAGTGAATGTGGCAATATCTGAAGCAACCGAATTTGGTCTTCTCCTTCAACTCTCCTCCCCTTCTACTCTCATCCCATTCAAAACCACCTCTCAACCAACCCAAAACGACAATGAAGGGAATCAACGCCTAAAAATATTAACTGGACTCCTCTAAGCATTACAGACTCCATTGTGGGAGTTCAGTCATTACCTGTTAATCATCTTCCTTGTGTTTCTTCAACTGCTAATTCCGCTTACACGCTGTCATCTGTTCGCACAAAGTATGAATTGTTTAAAGTCCTCTCAATTCGGCACAAACCATTAAATCTTCACTTCAAAGCCAGGGGTTGTGCTCAGTAACAGAGAATACTCAAAGCATCTCTGAATAATTTACAACAGCATAGTATTTGCTGAGTATCTGAAGGGAACTCCAAATACCGCAACGGTGGTAACCTGCCTAACCTAACCCGTTCCTGTGGGGCAGCTCGGTGGCGTAAGCCGTCTTTGCGCTCAGTGGCTTTCACAAGAGAGGCCGGCTAGCGCAGGTGCTTTTGCAAGGCTATGGACAGAACAAACCTCAGAAAAATCAGGGGGACTTTTTTTTTTTCCCTAGAATCACAGAATCATTAGGTTGGAAAAGACCTCTACAATCATCAAGTCCAACCATCCGCCCAACACACCACCATGCCTGCTAAACCATGTCGTGAAGTGCCACATCTGCACCTTTTTTGACCACCTCCAGGGATGGTGACTCCACCACCTCCCTGGGCAGCCTGGTCCAATGCCTGACCACTCTTTCAGTAAAGAAATTTCTCCTAATATCCAATCTAAACCTCCCCTGATCCAACTTGAGGCCATTGCCTCTTGTCCTATCACTAGTTACTTGGGAGAAGAGACCAACACCTGCCTCACTACAACCTCCTTTCAGGTAGTTGTAGAGAGTGATAAGGTCTCCCCTCAGCCTCCTCTCCTCCAAGCTAAACAATCCCAGTTCTTCTGGCGGTATCAGGTTTTGGTCTTTAACACTTTTCCCGTATGAACTGTGTGGGTGAGATGCATATGCTCAGGACAGGTCACTTCCCAGACTTTCGATGATAATGGTGCTGTAAATGGCATATTTGCCTTTACCACAATGCTGCCTTAGAGGCCTAACTCCAGAGATGCACAAGAAAAGAACAGAGTGTTGAATTTTCCTGCTAAAAACGTGTTCTCAGGATCCATTCTCCTTATCCTATTTATTTAAAAATCAGAGATGCTGCATGTAGAAAGGAAAGCCTCTCTAGTTTTCTAGTCTATCTTTGTACATTGCACTAATATCATCACTACCTTTAAAAATAAAATTGCAGTGACCTCCATGCCAATCTTTTCCTCTGCATGCAACATTTTATATTGGAGAGGAGCTTATTTCCTTGTTTAACAATTAACTTTTACTTTTGACCAGTAGTAATACTGATGCATCCCCTAAAACACAAGCACAAAGACTGAAATGGTTCTTAATAATAAATCCCACAGTTATAAAAAAACCCCCACTGCCCCCCTTCGCCCCCAGCCATGCCTGAAAATCATGTATTTGCCAGTACCTGACATGGGGAGCTAGGAATTTCAGATGAAGGATTAGATGGGCAGCCACTGTCATCTTCCAGGTGATTCCTTCTGTAGGAAGCTCTTGTGCCAGTAAATTGGACTGGTGGCACAGCCTTCCTTACAGCTGTCACCACCCGATGCACACCCAGCTGTGGAGTAGCATTTCTGGAAAGCTCTAGCCAGCAGGCAATCTACAGCAACGCATGAACAGAGCACGTGATAACCTTCCAGACAGAGTTTGAAGTGACTGAGGCCCCAACAAACATTTCTGCCAGAGAAGCAT